GACTTTTCAGCCCTAACACGAAAGCGGATATGCTTGCCAATGTCTCATACCCGTTTGCAAAAAAAAACTTCAAATCTGTGACGTGATATCAATTTCTGGAATAAGACGGTCCAGACAATCGGTGTGGATGAAATGCATCCATGCGTCCGGTACCGTTATGCCTTGCCCTTATAATCCTGGACTCAAATTTCAAAAACTCAGCCTGTCAGTTACGCTCTGCACGAGTTCCACCTCTCAAAAACTCTCCTGACATGAAATGACCCTTGGCTCTCAGCAAAGAAACACATCCCGCCCGAGGGAATTTCACTTAAATGTGGGCACCGCTCATCGGATATAGTGTCTGCCAGTTTATATAGCTACAAAAAGAATCTGCACTCAGAATATTTTACGCTCGTATCGATTCTTCCGCTGCACTTTCCGTTCGTGAAAACATCTAATAGTCATATGACCAATGTATTTAAGACAATAGCAAATCACCACTCTGGGCGTATTGGAAATGCTGTGAAAGTTGCGCCAATCTTTCGCTGTGCAATCTTAGCTAAAGACATCTCCAGGCCAAGACAGATGCAAATATCAAGTTCTTTGGCGAAACTTTTATTTAAATAAACCGCAATTAAGAGGAATTTCAACTTACATAGTCCTTTTGCCGATCATCAAGATGATCCCAGTAAATTGTAAAAAGATCTTTCAACTTGTTCACAATGGCAACACCACGCACTCGTCTCTTCTCAACTAGATTCTTGCCTTCGAGAACAGAAAATTCATCAGCCATGCGCGTTATCTGCTGATATGTGCATGCAGCTCTTGACGGAGCCAATTCCAACTTGTTCATTAAATTCTCCAAAATGAACATCGCCTGCAGACAAAAAGAGAAATTACATTCCTATGTGTAATAACTACCCGAAGATTAGATATGCCTATGGCAAAAACCAGAATCGATAGAAAAAAAGAAAGCCGAGAAGACCTACATTCTTGCCCTGCTGCATTGCAAATTGCACCATTTTTTTCTCATCATCCACAAGTTTCTCGTTCTTCTTATTCTTATTGGCTTCTAAAATCTGCTCTTTCTTCGATTTTACCGGTGCTTTACTTTTCGGGCCTGAAAAATTTTTTTGCACTGTTAGGCAAAGGCCT